GCATCTTCCCTTGATGGGCTGAAAATCTTTGTCCATATTTAACAGTGAGTATTTTCACTTCATTATTCTGATTCTACCATTTGCTAATTCAACAGCAGTAATTCTACTCTGTGCTTTTACACAGAAAATTCCTCTTAATTTTCCCCTAATTGAACCTATATTTCTGCCGGTTTTTTAAAAAGCCAAGTGCCACGACTATTCGGGACTTTAGGAGCTCTGTGAGCAGGGAGAGGATGTGGCAAGTGTGGCAGGCAGCTCCAGAGAGCAGATGGGCACCGATCCTCTCCAGGAAATGTCCTGCGCCTGAATGACCCAGCCACCATGAAATAAGATGTAACAAACTTACAGGGCCAGTTGTGGCCGATGACCTTTTAGCGAACAACTATTCTCAGCATCACGGAAGCACTTGGTCACAGGCTGGAAGGTCCATCTAAATAAGTGCGAAGGATCCTGGAATCTCAGTCTGGCCTCTGGGTCGGGAAGGACTGCCCTGAGATATACAATGGGGTCCAAATTTGGCCAACAAGGTGGGGTTCAATAAGAGCCTGCAGGTCTAGCAGAGAGTTGGGAGGCAGGCTATTTAAACTTGTAGCTGAGTATAACTGGGTAGAGTTGGGTGGACAGATACTAGGGATCTGTGGGCAGAGTGTTTGCTATTTGTGCAGGTCTTTGCTCTTGGTTCCTGTTGTACTCTCTCTGAGAACTCATTCCCTTTTTTGTCTTCACCCATTATCCCTGTCTGGGCAACTCAGTTTTTGGTACTTGGCCACACTTTGTATAGTCCAGAGACCATCATCATGTGTATATTTCCTTTCCCTCAAACACAGCCTATTTAGAAACATGTGACTAGTGAGCAGCTGTCACCATTCATGTCACAGAAATTACAGCTGCCCCTTCCAGGTAGAGAAACAGTGTTACCAGGCCAGAGGTTTTCCCAGCCTCCTGTTGCTGTGTGGTTGGTCCTGAGTTAGGTCACCTTTTGCCTCTGCAGTCCCTCCTGTGGGGCTAAGGGGTCAGCCCCCCTCATCTCTCCTGTAGATGTTGCCCCAGGACATCAGAACCAGCCATCATCACCAGCCCTTGCAAAATGGAGGTGTCACCTCTCAGTGTCCTTCAGCTTCTCATTTCATGAAACATCACATGTACCTTTTAGTTTTTACAATAGGAAAGAATTTTTAAATTTTATTTTAAGTGGGAGAAACTGCAGTTTCAAAAAGTGAAATCCCTGGTGTTTGTTGGAATTTAATTAGAGTTAGACCTGATCTTATTTAGGTAAATTTGTCTTTGCAAACATTTTTACTCTAGGAGACCATTGCCTTCAATAAATAAGTATTCCTTCCAATGGGAATCTGTCCCTTGTTCTCTCTCTTTCTCGCTCTCTAGTCTATGGAAAGATTATAGGAAAGATTTAAATTAGTCTACAGCTGAAGTTTTCTTCTCTGCATACATTTTGATTCCAGAAGGAAATTTGGCAAAGTTTACCAACAGTTTGACCCAGCAATTCTACTTCAAGTAGTTTATCCTAAGATGAGAACAACGGATGTTCTCAAAGATTTATGTTCAGGATATTCATTGCAAAGGAATTTGCAATCACTAAAAATAGAAACAATTTACACCTAAAAATAGGGGAATGGTTAAATAAATCATAGCCATGCAATATAATGCAGCCATTGAAAGTCTTATTTTGAAAACTATTCCATGATATGAAAAAGCCCATGATATGATGTTAAGGAACAAAACAAAAAAGCAGCTATTGAAACTGTTTTTATTATCATCCAAAATTTGTCCTTGGAAGCCTGTATGTGTAATAAATATCACAGATAGAAAAAGTAAGTATAAGCTAGCATTCCAGAATTTTAACTGGTTTATCTGTCAGTAATGGAATTGTACATGATTTTCACATTTTCTTTACAATTTTATGCATTTGCCAAGTATCCTTTGGAACATGTATGATTCTATTCATTCATTCACTTATTCAATAAACGCGTGGTGACTGTTAGTTGTCAAACACTCTGCTTTGTGCTGAGGAGGTAAAGTAAGCAAGACAGAACAGACATGTTCCTTGCTCTGCTCAGAGTTTATAATCTCTTAAAATTAGAAGGGCAAGTTTTTTAAAATAAATTCTTCATTTGACCCAGTAATTCCACTTCTGGGAATCTATCCTAAGGAAATAATCAAGAAAGCAAAACAAAATTATCATACAGAAATGTTTATTAGTGCATTAATCATATGAGTAAAAATATCTAGAAATCACCTAAACACCCAACAGTAGGGGGATGGTTAAAGTAATAATAGCACGTTCATATAATGGAATAATAAGAAGCCATAAGATTATGTTACTGAAAACTTTTTAATAACATGGGAAAATGTTATTAATGTTTTCCATCAATATTGATGAAAAAAAGTAAGCTACAAAATGATGTAGTATCTGACTTAATTATGTAGGGTAATAGTCATAAAAGAGAGTCAAATGTGAACAGGTGTTATTTTTGAATGGTGGAGTAATGGTTGATTTGTATTTTGGGGTCTATGTGTTTCATGTTTCCTAAATTTTCTACAGTGAACAAGACTTAATTTTATACTCAGGAGAACCATGTTGCTTTGGTTTTTTAAAACTTGATTCAAAGATTATCTGTTAAAAATTCAAGGAACACACAAAAAGATAATATAACATTTCCTCAATGTCTGTATTGTCTGGTGGAGAAAGAAGAAAGAATTCATACAGAGAGATCTTAAGGACCCCTTTATTTTTAAAACATTCTTGGGAGAGAATAGGTGACCAATGACCACTCATGGAGTGGAGTGACATTCATTCAGAGGGCCTGAGGGCATTAATTCACTGTGCTCATGAGGCTGAGCAAGGAAAGAGAGGGTCCAGTTGAGGACGCAGAGGCAGAGCCCTGAAGCCTCCGCCACGACTCTCCCTTGAGCTCCAGCCCTGAGCCTGCCACTGGTAACCCCCTGGGCTGTCTCTGTACATAAGGGACATGGCAACATTTCTCAGGGCTGTCGTTTCCCTCAGCCCTGGCACCAGAGACTTTTTTACTTCACTGAGCAGTTGTCAGGCAGAGTCAGGGTCTTGTCTATGGTTTGCCTAGAGAAAGAATAGTGGACCTTGAGATGCCAGGATCACAGCAGCCAAAATCTGGCTGCCACCCCAATCCATAATGAAATCTTGGACTCTGACTCCTACCTTACCCTTCTAAGTTCAAAGAGAAAGAGCACAGCTGTGGAAGATGTCATTTCTGTGTAAGTCAAAGCAACAGAGCTGTCTGCTGGTGCTCCACCAGCCACTGTATGCTCAGGCTTACACTCACTGGCAGGTCTCCTTTGAGCTCATGCAAGGCTCCAGTGCAGTAAAAATAACCAACTTTACCTAATGTACAGATCATCAAGAAAGCATGTGTAGGCTGAAATTGCACATACCACAGCGAATTTTCTAAATTTAAGGGGCAGCTGTGAGGCTAAAGAGTGAATCAGTACAGAAAGATTTATAGGCTTACTTCACTTTCAGCAAACTGAATATCTGAAAGCCAGAGTAGCAAAAAAGGTAAATTCACAAAGGAAATTCATTTCAATACCTCGTTGAGTAACTGGTTTACCCTGTACATTTAAAATATAAATTGATTCACCACATCTTGTACACACAACATATCAAGAAACTTAGAGTTGTATAAAGGGAGGTGTGCATGAAACTTAGAAATCAGCATTTGGACACCACTGCAAAGAATGGAAACATAGCTTTCTCTGATTTTAAAAGTGTTCATTAACTGCAGAGGCTGAAAAATACCTTAAATTAATTGCAAATCATAAGCAATCTTTATGCAAAAGGATTAGTAGTTTCGGGAAAATTTCTTTGCAGTTTTTTCTCCTATCTCCTTCTTTGGGTTTCTCCTATTCATTTATCTGAGCAAGGCCATCCAAAAGGCCCATTTTAAAAGCACAGTGACAGGTGTTTTAAACATACCCCCACATCCCAGGTAAACATTTAACACTTGGGCACACATACATACTCCCACTAGTGACCCAGAACATCCACAGATAGTCAGGACAAATAGAGATGTGCTCTAATATCAATTTTCCATCCTGCTACCTGAGGAGCCATTCATTCCAGAATGCCATCCCCAGTGTTTGAAAATACCGTTTTCACTTTCAATCAGCTTCTGAAACCCTAGCCTGTTGGTTGCAGGAAAGGAAGTGCTCTCAGTTGCTTTTGCTAAGCATGTTTCTCTGTGGATACAGACAGGTTAAAAACACTGACCTTACAGGATAAGAGAAATTTAGAAAAACTCCTGGGTAAGCTCCCTGAATCCTTATCTGTGGAGTTCCACAAGGCAGCCTAGCTGCCTCTCAATCCTGAATGAGAACTCCTAGCAGCATAGAGGGAGCTGAATTAGAATCCTGAGTATTTTATGACTCTAGTGAAATGCTCGTCACATCCAAATAATATTGGAGAGTTGATGTGGGAACAGAAAATCCCTGAATCTTCAGAAAGAAGAGAAAACTGAGAAATTTTGCCAAGGCGTACTTAAAACTGGAAGGCACCAAAGAGGCTGCCCAATAGTAAGGCATGGCTGCAAGGATTTACAAGGTCCCAGCGGGGAGGTGGTGGTGGAGGGGGCTGGTTTTCAGGGTAAAGGAGAGAAGGAATATATGTAAAGAAGCAAAGCAGTAGTTGTAAGCTAAGTGTCAGGGAGGTAGGTGGAGAAGGATTGAAGACAAGGCAGCTAAATGCAGGGAAAAAAGGGGATATGTGGACAAAAAAAGAGAGACTGAAGGCAGCTGAAAAGGAGGAGAAGAGCAAAGAGGAAATAGAAAAGAAAATCATGAAAGAAGATAAAGTCCCCCTTCAACAACTGACTCAGCTGGCTTTCAGTCAAAACCCCAGGGATAGATGACCAATCCCCACCGTGAACCAGGCGCAAGCCAACAGGGATGCTCCACAGCAAAGCCATGGTCCTCTATGGACACTTTCTCTTTCCCGCAAAGGGCAAGCTCACCTATCGAAGGCCACAGCCGTCATGGAGTAGATACTGGCGAAGACAGCAGCGATGGGAAAGAAGTTGTGGAATTTGCAGTAGAACAGGCCATAGTACCACTCGTTGTGGACAGCATAGGTGAAGTTGACCACAGTATTGAACGCGGCCATGGAGGCCTCCGCGAAAGCCAGGTTCACCAGGAAATAGTTAGTCACTGTCCTCATCCTCTTGTGGGCCAAGATGATCCACATCACCACTACGTTGCCCACCACGGAGGTCACCACGATGACCGTATAGGCAGCTGCCCAAAGGACAATTTGCCAGGCCGGCTGCACGAACTGGTTGGGCTCCGAGGTGTTGGTGGAGATGTTTGGGAAGAGGTCTGAGTCAACTGGGAGGATGTTATCCATTCCTCTGCTAAGTGGTTCAGCTTTCCCCTCTGTACACACCCTGCCTTTGCAGCAGGGTCCTAAGGCCCAGACCTGGGGTCAGCGTCTTGTTTAACCAAGACCGGAGGGGTGCAGGCTCTCTGTAGGCAGAATTCTTTCCTTGCAAGCAGGAGACTAGGCACTCGGTAGATAAATGCTTCTAGATGTGCTGTCTGCCCCTTGTGACTCTGAATTCTTCCACTTTCAAGCTTCAAGAAGCATTTGAGTTCAGAAATCTGGAAAGAGCGTCTCTTCTGCGTTGGGCTGGAAAAGGAAAAAAAATTCCACGGGTCACTGTTCTAAGCAGGAGACCCCCACCTTTCTGCACCTGCTGCATGCAACTCCTATTTCCCTGCTTGCAGCGGGAAATGCAAAGCCCTGTTCTGCGTGAGGACTTGGGGGCAAAGAGGGGATGCTCGTCACCGCGAGACCTGCCAAAGTTCTGAGTCTATGTCATGGTTCTGGGGCCCGTGTGCAGCTGGAGATTTTTCCTTTGCTTTCGCTGCCGCCGCCACCGCCGCCGCCGCGCCGCCGCTACCTCGCCTGGAGCTTCGCAAGCGCCTCTTGGCTCAGGTCCTGCTGGGCTGGGGAGTTAAGCAGAACCTCGGCAGGCTGCGCGCGAGCCTTTTATAACGCTCTGCAGACACGTCACCGGGAAGGGGCAGTACCTGGGCTGCGTACTTGCCAGTCCCCCTGCGCAGCGCGGCAGCTGCACCAGCTGTTGTCAACTGTCTCACTCCACCGTCGCAGCCACCACGCCTTTCGCTGCTACCCTCTGTGGAAGTCTGCAAGCCGGACGTCTCACGCGCTCCGCGAGGGGGCGCTAGGAGGCCACAGAGTAATTGCTCCAGATGGGGTCTGCAGCTGGAAGCACAGATGCACCAACGCGAAGGGAAGATCTGCGAAAGAGCTCTGGTGATGGACACTCAACTTCCAGGGAGGGCAGCCCAGAGCGCTGCGACAGCTCTGCAGAGGTGCCTGCTTGTGGCTGTGGGAGTCGGACAAGTGTGGGGGCGACGTGCCAGCGCTGCGCTCCGGGACGCGCTCCAGCCAGAGTGCACCGCGGCTCGCTCTGGCTGCTACGGAGGAGAGAGAGGCGAAGACGCCCAGTTTCAGGTGTCCGGAAAACAACTTTCCGGAGGTCGTGTTTAGAAAACACCCCCAAAATGCCTAGTTCCTCTCCCTGGTGGGCTGATTCCCCCGGGAAGAAATGATACAGGTTGTAAGCTTACCCCAGCTATCCTGGTGGCTTGGCCCCTCGCTCCATGCAAAGCTCCAGCTGAGCTCTCCAGTTGAGCCCCCAAAGGGAACTGGGCTGGTCTCTCTGAGAAGCTCGGTGAGCGCAGGAGCCACCCATAAATAGTATGTCTCTCAGATGCGCAGTTCTGGGCTCCCTGCCAGCACTCACTGCGGCCTCAGGTTCGCCGTGCTGGGGACCTTGCATTCGCCGCCTCCGCGCCCCCAGGGCCTGTGGGCCAGAAGGGTCCAGCCGGGGGTGGTGTCGGGCCATTCCCCCTTCCGCGCATTCAGGTTTGCATAGGCTAGGACTGGAGGACAGGTCTTCCAACCTTCTCTCACCAAGCCCTCTACGCCCCCGGCGGGCTTCGAGGCCTGGTCTCGCAGTCCAAGGCCAATTCAAATGGCCGAGATGGTGCCCGGCACCGGGAGCAGGTGAGAAGGGCTCGCTAGTCTGTGTGAACCGTTTTGGAGAAGTCGAGGTTCGGAGCTTCTTCCAGCCAAACTGGCCAGGAGATGTGGTTCTGCGGGGAATCGAACCTTCGGAGTCTGTCTGGGGACCGTCTAACCCTCTGCCTCCCCACCCCTTTTACTGCGGGGACTCGGGACTGTGAGACGAGGGTGGGGACGAGTAGCACGGCGGAGCACGGAGGTTCAGGTTGGCGCTAGTCGGCACTCTTCCCCAGGGCGACACTTAAAGCCGAGTCCTCCCCGGTTGCGCGCCTCTGCGGGGAGCGCACAGAGTATCTCGCGGGAATCGCTTTAAGGCTTAGAAATGCACTGGTTTACAAACCGGGCTAAAATCGGATTCTCTCTCGGGGGCGGGGAATCCGCTAATTTACTGCGGTTTTGTTGAAGCCTGGCATTTTTCAGCATTTATATGCACCGCACCTTGCACTGCCTGGCCCTCCAGGTACCCCTAAGCCCTGATGAGAAAACTCCAGTGATGCCTTGAAGAGCACAGCGCCCCCTTATTTAGCGGGGAGCACCTCCTGTTTCCACCGTGCCCTGTGTGTGTCCACCTTCAATTTTTCCTCCCAGGTTTTGTATTTTTCTCCCTGACCAGTGGAGGCTGACTGACAATTTCTAAAGGAACTTTGCTCAATGCTTAGGGGGAAAGAAACGAAAGCCAATAAAACCTAAGTTTATAATAAAAGCTAAATACAAAATAAATATAAAATTAAAAAGCAGAAAAATAGAGATTTATCCATTTATCTCCATTAGTAGAGCAAGTTGATACTTTGACCCAGGGGTTGTGCTGGGAGTACAGATGGGCAAGCAGTTACAGTCCAGTGAAGGAGAAAGACAACTGTACAAAAAGGCGATACTGTGATGAGCAAAGGCGCTAGCTAGTGGGGGAAGGCACCAGACAGACCTCTTATATGTCAAACTATGTCACTTGGCTTTAGGTCACACAAGGATTCCCTAGCTCAGGTAGAGGGTCACCTACATTCACACTTGCCTTCAAGGGTCTGCAGAACCAGCCCTAAGTATCCGTGAATCTGGCCTGGGTGGCTCTCCTTCCTTCTCCAGGTTCCTCATGGCAGGTAGCATGTCTTAGGAACATCTATGACTTGAAAGTAAAGTTAATTGCTTTCCCACACAGAAGGTTCATATTATTAAAAAATGCCTCATACGTACAATAGCAGAGGGTGTCCTTGGTTCACACATGTTAGGAGGAGGGGACTTCTCTGGCATTGTCCCTTTTATAAAGTAGTGGCTTTCTGCCCCACATGGGGATAGCCTTGCACAAATGTTTAAATAAGATCCTATATATTCCTTTTTCCTTCAAGAGTTTATTTTCTTTCTCCTCAGCTCCTCTTTATACTGAACCTTCCTCTTTGACATACAACACAGGCCCACCAGTTTCAAAATAAACCCTGTTGACAACCTAGAATTCTTCCTTATTTGTCCAGGCTCCTTAACGCTGTGTAGACAGAAATACAGGCACACACAATACTTACACATGTAAGCATACACAAATACAGGACCTTCACTGTTGTCTTAATTTTGTTTTTCTTACTCAAAACATTGAATGCCTCAGAGTTAACAGGTATTGATTTAACTGTTTTTTTTCAATAGCTACATATTTTTTCTTATGCTATGGATGCACCATAATTTATACACTCCTTTCCCTACTTAAGAAAATCTCTTTGCTTCCAGTTTTTGCTACTAGAGACAATGCTACAATAAATATTTTTACATATGACTCTACCATCTGATGTTTTATTTCTATGGGATAGATCCCAAACAGACTTGCTAGTTAATGGATTACATTTATATTCATATGCATATATGTATATGTGTTGTGTGTTTCTATCTCTATGTAATGTTGCCAAGTTGCCTTCTAAGAGGGTGTAATACTGTTACATTTCACTAGCTATTAAATTGTCTTTTTTCCCCATATCTATTCCAGTAATAGGTCTTCAAGGTCTTTTATAGTTCTGTCAGTCTAAAATATATAAAATATTATAACATTGTTAATATACAGTATTTATTTTCCTTACTACTAGAGAATTTCAACTTCTTTTAAGGTTTTTTGGCTATATGGATTTTCCCTTCTATAAATTGTCTATTCACATCTCTTTCACTTTTTTTGTCAGAAAGATTTCCAGCCATTTTTTTCTAAGTGCTCTTTATATATTAGAGACATAAATGCTTTGCCTATCATGAATATTTCAAATGTTTTTTCTAATGCTGTTATTTATATATTTGTCATAAAACTTAAACAATTTTTATGTAGTCTATGTTTGCTTTAACAGCATTTGGGTTTTCAAGTCCTAGTTTAAAAAAAGTTTTCCCAAAACTGGATTTTTTCACATAGTCTCCTAGATTCATTTGGCAGGTTTTTTTATTGTTTCATTTTGTTACATTTAGATCTTCAGCTCACCTGGAGTTTGTTCTTTTACATTATGTAAAATATTTACTTTTTTTAAATATGGTTAACTAGTTTAGATAGCTCTATCCATTTTCCTATTAAATTAAACCATTATCCTTGTCATAGATTAAATTTTCAAATATATGTGATTTAATATTTGTATTCTCCAGTATATATATAATACATTATTGTGGGTAAAATTGTAATATTTCCAGAATCTCCTGCCTGGCTTTGATGTATCTGCATATTAATAGGTGTTTCCAAGGGGTGGAGAGCAGTAATCCAGATCCATATCAATAGGTATTTCTAGAAGTGGAGAACAGTGTCCATCTACATATCAATAGGTAATTACAAGGGCGTGCCAGGGTTTATCTGGACCTGAGAGGTTGGGTGGAGCCCTCTTCTGCCACAGCTGGGACAACTGCTTGTAAGAAATAAAAGGGCTTCTTAACTTTATTTCTCCCTTTGACTGATTTCCATTTTAGAGGTATTTTGCCCTGGGATTTTCCCCCCAGAGTTACAATTATATAAAATAATAAAATTTGTATGACCTGATACTTTTCCTAGCCCCTTTGCAATTAGGCAGAGCTTTGTGACTATCAGCCAATGGGTTGTGAGTGGAAATGATGTCCGCCACTTCCAGGCTTAAGCATAGAAATACGTGTGTGTGTGTGTGTGTGTGTGTGTGTGTGTGTGTGAGAGAGAGAGAGAGAGAGAGACAGAGAGAGAGAGAGAGAGAGGCACTTCTCCATGTTTTCTTCCCTGCCGAGTCCCAAATGGCACAGCTACAAGATGATAAGTGTGGATCACCTTGAATTCCCAAGTGACTATATCATCCAGACTCTTGCCAAATCCTTATGGACATGTAGCATGAGCAGAAAATGAACTTTTGTTGTGTTAAGGCTCTAGTGTTTGGGATAATTCATTATTCACCATGATATAGTTTATCCTGACTCATACAGATACAGAATATTCTGATATTTGGTAAGGCAAGTTCACTTAAATGTTCATTTTATGCTTTTCTTATCAATTTCAGGGCATCACATTTAAATTTTTAAAAATCTGAACAAACTGCATTAGTATTCTAATTGGAACTGTGTGGAATTTATTTAATTTTAACAAAATTTATCCTTCTGATATTAAGTTTTTTCATCCAAGAACATGATATGTCTTTCCATTTCTTTAAGTCTTATTTTATGCCTTTCAAAAAGATTTTATTATTTTGGCTAAAAAGATACAGTCTTTTGATTAAACTTATTTCCGTGTATTCTGTAGTTTTTGTTTCTATTATAAATGAAATATTTTTCCTTTTTAATTCTAAAGAAAACCTATTAACTTCTGTGTCTGTGTTTGTGTGTGTCTGAGTGTGTTTGTATGTATCCTAGTCATTTTACTAAATTTCTCATTCACTTCAGTGCTTTTTAGTTGTTTTCCTAGTTTTTCAATCAAATCATTAACATTTTCTTATTTTGTTGAATTTTCTTTACCTTCCAAGACGATGTTAGATTAAAAATGGTGATAGCAGGTATTTCTGTATAGTTTCTTAATTTAAATTAAGATGGCTTTGGATTTTTACCATTTAGGATCATATTTGTTGTGAACTCTCTAAACAGTCTTCTATGTTTAAATAGTTTCCTTTTACTTTATTTTACTTTAAAGTTTTGATAGGACTGGCTTGTAATTTTTTTTTTAAATGCCTCTTTCCGGATCTGTTGATATGATTGTGTACTTTTTTCCATGAACTTGTTGACATAATGGATTAAGTGAATAGATTTCCTAGCACTGACCCAGACACAGACCCACCCTAGC